CCGGAGTTTCCTCACCTCAAACAGGTTTCCCTCCACCGAGAACAGGGATACCTGGGACTCGTTCAGGATGGACTGAGGGATGGAGGAGAGCTCCAGGCAGTTCTCCTCCAGGCGGAGGACCTTCAGACGGGGACAGCGGGAGACCTCCGCCGACACCACCGAGATCTGGACCGAGAATAGAGGACCGGGTTAGTACAGAGGAACAACACCAGACCCGGGCTGGGATTATCAGAACCTCCTTGGAAGTCTGTGGGATAGAAAGCTGTGGGAGACGTCATGGAGTGACCGATCAGTAATTATTGATAACTGATTGATTAAGCACCTTTGGAGAACTGTTGTTGTGGTGCTTTATAAGTAAAACTGATCTTTAATACTGGGTGAATTGACAGCACAGGGTCAGCCCTTCCAGGCTTTCCTCCTGGTTCTGGTTCTTTGGTGGACTTACAGACCTGGTTCTGGTTGAGGTTGATCTCGATGGCCTGCAGCTCGGACACCTCTGCAGGGACGTTCTGGATCTTGTTTCGGGACAGATCCAGCAAGTCCAGCTGCCTCAACGTTCCGAGTCCGGAGGGGAACTCTGAAATCTGGTTCCCGGCCAGGCTGAGGGTCCGCAGGGCTTTGAGCTGGCCCAGAGTGGGGGGCAGCTGCTGGATCCGGTTTCCATTCAGACTCAGGGTCTCCAGCTTCTTCAGCTTCCCGATCTCAGAGGGAATCCCAGCTGAAAACAGAACCACAACACAACAGGGTCTCACAGGTCTGAGCATCGGGGTGGATCCGGTTTGTTCTGCAGCTAAACCGGATCTAAAGACACACACAATCTGGGGATTTTTAAATCGTTCCAACCCTAAATTAAACTAAAAAAAGCATCCAAAGAGAACAAATCAAATGCTGAAACAATAATGTGGTTGCTTTTTCCTTAGCTTTAAAACACAGGTGTAAAGGTATGACTGCTGCGGGTCGAACACTCACCGAGCCGGTTAGAGTTCAGCGTCAGACTCTTGAGCTGGGGGAAGTTTCCGATGGTGGCAGAAAGGACCTCTATCTTGTTCCCGGACAGATCCACCGTCCTCAGGTTGGCCGTGAGCCTCTGCAGCTCCTCTGGAAACTGAAAGCAGACCAAGACCAGGACAGGCAACTCAGTACAAGCGGGACAGGCGACTCGGGACGCTGTCTGTTTTGTATAGGTTAAGCTTGCTATGATCAGGCCCTGGGGTGTCACACTCTAATGGTGGCGAGTGTACGCCTACATGCTGCAGCTCTGAGCTCTCCAGTTTTGTGTGGTTTTTTTTTTTTTTGTCATTTTGTGTTTTTTGCTTTGTGATTTAGACAAAAACAAATGAGGAGGTGCCAGATAGCGATCCACAAAATGGACGAAATCAAACCGCAGCTGGCCACCAACAGACTTGTCTGAAACTGCTGTGTATCGATCATAACGGAAACACGGCTCCCGATGCTACCATCCAGCTACTGGACTGGACTCTCCATCATCAGGACCACATAAAGAGTCAGGAAAGAACCGAGCGGAGGACTCTGCATCGTCACACATAACAACTGGTGCACACACAGCTGAGTCCTCGACAGCTTCAGTTGCCCGGACTTATCCTCTGTCAAGTCGGCTGCAGAGCTTTTATAATAGTGCACATAGCTCCTGTTGCTAAGGTCAGCATGGCTCTAAGCTGCACAGTACCAACGGATGCAGATACATCCGGATCGGGCCGTCATCATTGCTGGTGATTTTAACAACTGCTTAAAGACGGTTCCTGACTTCTCACAGTAGGTGGAAAGTGCCACCAAAGGGAAAAACACAGCAGGCCATCTTCTTCTGACCATGTGGACAGGATCCAGGATCCCTGACTCCCAGGAACCCACACAGGAGCATCTCCTGGACTGCCCACACAACCACCACGGTGAAGAAAGCTCAGCAGGCCCGCACTTCCTGAGGAGAAACAGGTTACAGTCGAATCCTTCAACCACTCCGCCATAGAAGGCCTGCTGTCATATTGTATCACAAGCTCCTCATACACGCACAAAAATAGACTCCAACGCATCATAAAGACTGCACAAAAAAGTTACAGGCCCAGCTCCCACCCCTTCAGCAAATCGCAGATAAACACCATCTGGGCAGGTGTAGAAAAGGTGATCACCTGCTGATTTATTCGTTTTTATACATGTGTGAACACGTGTCTGTGTGTGTTTGTTCTGCATCCCGGCGATACCACTCCAGTTTCATGCAATGACAGTAAAGGCTCTGAACTGAAAGGAGAACTGTCCAATCACAGGCTGCCCGGACTGAGACGTCTGACGCGTCAAACGGGTGTTTAAATCTTTCTGTGCATGTGTGAGTCAACTCACCTCCTGCAGACCTTTCCCCGTCAGCTGAAACACTCCCGTCTTCTGGGAGGTTTCAAGGTGAGACTTCAGCGCGCTGTTCCCCATCTGCACCCGCAGCCAGGTACCAGCCCTCCACTTGCAGGGCCACCCGAAGTCCTTCCAGACAGGCTGATGGATCAGCTGACAGCCGTATCAGCGCTCCTCCTCGTCAGCAGGTATTGATGAGATCAGACAGTGAATCCCTGCAGGTGAACAGTCTCTCAGGTGTCCTCGCTCACAGACCTGTGAACATGTTTGTGTTTATTTATTTATTTATTTTTTGCCTTAGATACCGAAATAGTATTTTAATTTACATCCGAGTCATAAAGAGAGAATATTTACAACTATAGAAGCAATTGAAACAATCACATAATCCTAAATAAGAAAAACAAACAAAACCAACAAACCTACAAACAAAAAAAACCAAAAAAAACCCACAAAAAACCCGGATGTGTTGGTAGGGGGTGATCCTATAAATATATACTCTCATACATCACAGTTATTGGTTTGTAAAAATAAAATCTGGCCTATGAGGCGTGATATATTTGACCCAGTTTTCCCAGTATGATGTAAATTTCTCCAGCTTGTGGTTAACAGAAGCTGTTATCTTTTCCATGTTATAGATTTCCATTGTGAATGTTTGTGTTTATTAGTGAGATTTGAACAGAGGCGGCATGCAGATGTTTCACTCTGAAACTGAAGAACAAAGTGAATATTCAGAGAAAAGCTCTGCATGGGCTGCTGCTGAGCTCACAGACGTGCTTTGTCTCCACGTCCCGCAGCATCATGCCAACGTAAGGCTCCGAGTTTGGCTTGAAAACCCTGATTCTTTTCTCTAAGCGACCCGTCCTGACCTGAGCTGAGGGAAACAGTATCAATATCCACCTGTGCTGGGCGGCGTAGGATTTAAACTTTTTCCCATGTTGATGCACAGATGAACAGATCAAACACTCCCTGTGGATTAAAGGTGTTTTATAACAGAGAAGGCCTGCAATAACTCATTCACGTTAAAAATCCTCAGCTAACTAACATACAAACCATTAGCATCGTTAATAACTGCACTTCACCAAGCACCACGCTGACTCTGGCAGGCAGGCTTCCCTAAATTTACAACATTAATCTTCTAAATTTGCCACTTTATCCCAATTTGACCATCAGTGGTCCTGACCCAGCTTTGTCAATAATGAGTGTGAGGGAAGAAACCGGACTTATCATTGGCTTTCTACAGCACACCCCAGTAATGTGTAAAATGCATTAGTGTTGAAGCCTGAGCTCAGTAAACGCACTTGTGGGAAAACCTCCTCCTCTGTAGTGTTAAACACACCTGCAGTTCTCCACGGTCACCACAGGGGCCGCCAAATCCCCCAAACTGAGGCGTTCCAGATCAATGCTGTGGCAGCAGAGAGGGGCTTCAGCTTTAAGGTGGACTTTAAGAGGTATTTAAGGTGGTCAATATCTTGCAGCGGGGCAACCTGATGCACACCCACACTCACACACCTGTCTCTCTAAAGCAGGCTAACGCTCACCCTTCAGCTGTCACAGGAGGTAAAGGTGAGTCACGTGTTCACCTGAGACCTGAGAGGTGACACACTCACCGTCAGCAGCCTAATCGGCCCCAGTCTCTCCTCACTGTAAACACACTGTAAACATTGATGCCACCGCCACCCTGCTAACAGTTGAGATAACCGGAAACGGCTCTGTTTACATACCGACACAATGTCGCCCTTTGACCCCAGTGTGCAAGTGTCGCGTGTCCAGGTGCTGTACTTAAATTTATCCGATAAAAGGACAAAAAATAAAGATCAGTAGAAAAGTGAAGCTCGGCAGCCGCCCTGACTCTGCGCTCCTGCTTCTTCTTCTTCTTCTCTAATGAAAATCCCGCTCAGGGCTGCAACGCCGCCACCTGGTGACAGACGTCACTGAAATCCTGAACGACTTTCTTCTTGTCATGTGACCTCAGCAGGGTGTGACGTCAGATTTTGGTCCAGGATTAGGCAGAAAGAGACGTTAGTTAGTTCCATCCAACATGTACATTTCAAGATTCTGCGACATTGATAGAAAATGTACCTTTTGTAAAACTGAACTTGAAAGTGTTACTCATTTGTTTTATGGCTGTTCATATAGTGCTACATTTTGGAGAGAGCTTGAAAATTATATACTGTGCAAGACAACATACGAAATCAAAATTGAAGGGAAAAACATTATCACTTATTTTGAAACTAAAGGAAAAAAAATATGTGCCATTGTCAATCTTTATATCTTATTAGGGAAATTCCATATACATAAATGTAAATTTCAAAACTCAACCCCATCATTTAATTTGTTTTTGATTGAAATTGAATATTATTTAAACTCTCTTAAATTAACTTCCAATAAAAAAGGTTTATCATTGATTGAAATTCATTCAGAAATGTTTAACAAATGAGCTGTCACGACTTTCAAGTACTAAATTATGAAGTCTGTCACATTCCCCCCCCCCTTTTTTTCCCCTTTATTTATTTGTCCTTCTTATTTCATTGTACTGTATATTGTTACTTTTATTTGCCTTGTATGTCTACTGTTCACGCTGAACTGGAATGACTGGCTGTTCACTTTGTAATTTCAATAAAGTTTGAGAAAAAAAAAAGATCTCTCTGGATCCTGAGGGGTCGCTGTTGCGGTCAGCAGCCGCCAAACGTTTTCGCTGAAGAAGAGAAACAGCAAAAACAAACGGTCGGGCGGGCAGCGGTGAGGTTCGGTTCTTCGGTTTTAACGGTAAGAAAAACCTGGTAACCGACACTAGACTGTGTTTAACCGACCGCCAGAGGCAGCTGAACGGTGCCGGTGTGTCCGTTAAAAAAAAGCCTTTTAAAGCTGCTTCAAAGTCCGTTTAAAAATGTGGAGATTTAGTTTGATGGCGCTTGCCTTCACACGCAGAGCTGTGAGCTGGAACCCAACAGGGTTCTGGTTCGGATAGATCCGGTTTCAGGTTTGAACACCTGGTCCAGGTGAATATCAGAGTCTGAGGCTGGCGTGGTTCAGGTGACGTTCCTGTCTTTCAGATGCATCAGTGGGATTTGTCTCCGTTCTCCGTGACTCCAGCTGCCAGCCTGCTTTCTAAGTGTGTCTCCGTGGGAGCACTGTCTCAGGTAAGGACACGAACAAGTGTTTAGGAGGCTGAGGCGGTCTGTCAGAGCAGCTTTACACTAGGGCTGCACGATTTTTTGGCTTAGAATTGAGATCACGATTTTCTTTTCCAGTATAAATATTTATTGCACTTATTAACTGCACATCAACTTTGTAACAGTTGAGGCTGAACATAAAAACAATAAATAAACATTAAAAACAACAAATGTCTCACGTTTTGTTGTTGCCGCTAAATGTTGTACTGCTTGAAATTCCGTCTCCACCGTTGCTCGACACTGCGTGTATAGAGCAGGTAGTGCAACAATAGAAAAATAGTTGCGGGACAGCACTGCGTAGCGTTTGTCTAGGGTGTTGATCATTTTCCTAAATCCCTCGTTTTGCACAGTGTTGATGGGAGCTGAAAGAAATCTCCGTCCCGGGTCATCCGTGGATCGGGTTTTCCTCCGAGACGTGGGCACCTATAAGCAGAGTTTTGTCTTTACCCTATAAGATTCAAAATTATTCAAAGTAACACTCAGGTATGCCGTTCAGCAGGTTAGTTACGACGTCGGGAGTAGCTTGGGAGAACAAGGAAACACAGACTGCTTCAGGTTGCCTTCCCAAACCAACTCAAACGTTTATTCATAATACAACAGTTTATATAGAGGAAAAAGGTTCGTGTGTCAGCAGATTCTCAGTTCAAACCGGTACAGACCAAATAAGGAAGCGTCTTCCTGCCCTCTGAGCAGAGAAGTATCCTTTGTATAGTTTATCAGTTCAGCTACAATTTATGATTATCCCAGCGAAATACACTCCTAGACATAGAATACAGAGTTCTTTCATTAGTGAATTCTGAAACAAACCACCTGGCCTTTAACAAGCCTTTTCTAAGAGATAAAGAAGGGAGGATGGGAGTAAGGAAGTGGTCTCTGTGGTATTTTCGACCTTGAGGTACCAGCCTGTGATTCTTACACATTAATTCTTGGGTTACAGAGAAAGAGAAAAACAACTAGTAAATGGGCCTTATTGAGTAACAGTTTTCCTGTATAATATCACTATAAAACAATATCCTGTAAATGCTACCATGGTATCAAAATATCACAACAGGAGCCATATCTTTGGTCAGGTGATAAGTGATAGCCTCCGTAATTTCTTTGTGCCTGCGGGAGTTCGACGGGTATAGGGAAGCGCTGTATAAGGTTCCCGTTATTGATGTTTGGGTGGTTGACCGGGACGGATTTTCTCCTGTCACTCTCTTGTCATCCCTGACGTGCTCTCCGTTGTTTTTTCCCTGCTAATTTTAGCATCACACGGCACAGCTTCTGTATCACGTGGTATAAGGCTCCGCCCTTGTCATTTGTTGAGCAGGAAGAGTGAGCGCTTGTTTTCATGCAGATTACGTCCCAGATCAACATGCGGTACAATCGTCGTCGTCTTTTTTTTGTTTTGTTTTTTTTAATCGTTGTTATTTGGAAATGAGATGCACATAAGTATGAATCGAGATCGCGATTTTCTAACGATTAATCGTGCAGCCCTACTTTAAACGGTTCAGAGGTGTCTGAGGACAGGTTCAGATCTGAGTGAGAGTTGACCTGTGTGATCCGGTTCTGATCCAGACTAAAGCTTGTGAGTAAAATCTGAATCTGCTTCTGTCTCACCTGTCCTCAGGAGGAAATAGACTTCGCCTCCAATGGTACAGGCCCCGTCTTTTCCTCTCATCTGCAGGAGGCTGAAGACCAAATCAGAATGCAGAAGCAGCTGGATGAGGTATGTGTGTGCAGCTGTCTCGGGGATGTGCTGGGACGTTATGTCAGAGTGCAGAGCCCCGCCTGCTTCGATGCCTGAGCCGGATGTCGGCCAGATCGGATTTTTTAATTTTCTCAGGAGAAACGTTGTTTTGCTCTCCTGCCTGCAGCTCAGAGTGAATGATGTCATTCCTGAGGGATGACATCATCCGCTCTAAGCTGACTGCAGTCTGTCACGCTCTGTCACCGTGAGAGACAGCCTCTGATTTGGGCCTAGTGCTGATGATGAGCACAGTCGTCATGTTTTTAAAGGCAGACTAAGAACCTCCACGGAGCAGCTTCGTGGATCCTGGTGTCTCTGATTGGCTGCTCACGGCGCCTTCACTTTGTTGTTTTCCTTTTCTAGTTGTGGTTAGCTAATTAAACTTTGGATTGTGTGTCTTCTGCATTTTCTGAAGAAACTGCAGTGTGGATGCTGATAGCTGAATGTTAAGTTAAAAATGTTAAATAAACTGAAAAATACAGAATTTTTCACCTGAAAACAAAAGTTCAGAACTGCTGAAAGCTGACGATCACAGAGAAGAAAAAGTTGAAAAGTAGCCGAACATGTTTAAAATGTGCATTTGAAAAAGCAGAGTAATGACAAAAGAAAATTTAGAGTCAGAAAACATCTGAACGAATGTTAAAAGTTCAAAAAGTTTGAATCTGTTTGTTTTGAGAGTAAGTTGAATGAGAATTTGAAGATTCTCCCATTGAAATAGATTGTAAACTTTTGTTAAATAAAGTTGAATAATTAAACAAATATAAATGTTAAAGATGAGAAAAATACAAGTACACATGGTGGTTGAATGGTTTTTCTAAGTTGAGCGGCGTGAAGGAGATAGACGGCGAAAAACCTATGGAAGATGAAAAGTAGAAGAACAATACCGTGGATGCTTAATCAACATCCACACAAATTACTAACTAGTCCCCTAACGCGCTGTAAGTCCCTCCTCTTGGCTTTGTAACTAATCCTACATTTCTGCAGCTTTCAGACTCATTCACAGGTTAATGAAACCAGTAGCTAGTTTTGTATCTTGTAACTAGTCCTGTGCATCACAGCGGGTCTATGCTAGCATCTCCACAGCAGCAGTATCGCTTTATTAATAGATTCCTGTTTTGTACGTTGGCGTGCTCGGTGTGTCATTTATGAACACGTCTCACCAAACGCTTCCCATCGCAGAAACTCTGATTTGAGCACTGACGTTTTAAGCGCGTCGACTGCGGGCGGTGACAGGTGTGCGCTCGCTGTGGGTCCGGTCAGGAGAATGAGATGCTGTTGTGTGAATGAAACAGCTTTACCTGCAGGAGCTGTGTTAAAAAGACAGTGACTGCACCGGGGCTAGAAGTCATGTGACTGTGTCAGCTAACGTAAAGGTGTTTGTTTCCTGTTTGCTTCCTGTTCGTGCAGATGCGGCTGCGGCTGGAGCTGCTGCAGGTCGACGAGCAAAGCGCCGATGTCGCCCACAGCTTCCACCTCGGTGAGTCCAGGTGACGTCATCATCACATTCGAGGGGTCGATGTTTTTAAACCAACCTTCACTCCAGACCTTATTCTGAGCCACGCCCCCTCTGATCAGGTGCTTTTGTGTCCTGCAGCTCAGAGGTTCCAGATGCTGCAGATGCTCGGGGATCATATGCAGGAACTGCTGAGAGAGCAGAACAGTCTGAGGCAGCGACTCATGAAGCCGCTGGCTTGCACCAACCTGCCCGTGCACGCTCACCTGCACAGGTAATGCCTGATGCTCAGTGTGATTAAAGTGGTCCGTGGCACTCTGTAACGGTCTGTGGTGTGTTTCAGGTTCATGGTGGAGTCCCTGAAGCTGATGATGGACTTCATTGAGACTCTGGAGGAGAAGCTAAGCGCTGCCGACAGCAGGACCGCAGCCAGAGACCGTCTCGCTCTGCTGGTCAGTCACACGAACTCACTGGTTTGGGGATGGCAGTAGGCCACGCGGTACGCAGACAAACTAAAGCCGTGTGCCACTGTTCATTTTATACACCTGAGAGAATCTGTGTGTACCAGACTCCATTCACAAAAACAGGAAATTTACCTGAGAAAACAGGTGAGCTAGTGTCACCCTGAGGTCTGAACTCATTAGTTTGGATCATCACAGAACGTTTGTTTTCTGTGAGCTAAAAACCGATGTTTTATGAATGGAGTCTGGTGGGTTTGACATCAGCAATGTGGGGTATTGTACAGAAATGGGTCAGAGACGGGAGGCGGGGCTTGACTGAAAAAACTCTTTGTGCGATGCAGCATCAAGCTTTATTGATAAAAACAAATTAGTATTGTTGACTGGGCTCGTCTCTTGGCTCCGCCCTTGGCCACCTCCCTGTTCATGGTCATTTCCTGTCAGTCTCTCACACACTGAATAGCATCCTCCATTGGCTGCAGAGTTCATCCCAGCTCAACTGTTACCTCTCTCTCTCTCTCTCAGGACTCCTCGCTCGCCCAGCTGCTGATCCAGGCCTCAGAGATGGAGACTTTGTCCAGTCAGATTCTTCAGTGGAAGTCAGTTGATGGATGCAGCCTGGTGACCTCTGACCCCTAACCTTCATCATGTGTTGCACTTTGAATTTATTCTAGTAAACGTTTGCAATAAAATCTTTCACATTTTCCATATGCAGTTTCTGATTGGTTATTCAACACAGAAACAAGGTAACCTTTGACCTCTGCCTTGGTTTCAAAATGAGAGCTGAAACTCTGAGCATGCAGGAAGGTGTGGGAGGATCTGATTGGTTGTAACTGAAATGCATGTTTAAGCTGTGTGAGGTCATTGGGTGTGGGCATGTGATCTTCCTACCTAAAAACAAACAAACAAACAAACAAAAAACGTGAGGGGGCTGAAGTTTCTCAAAGAGCCTGCACTGATGCTGCATAGGTAAAAGTGGACAGGTGAGGCATTTGTGGTGCAGACAGGTGTGTTCAGAGGGCTGCACTGATGAAATCATGATGCAATGATGAGATCATGGAACAGGCTCAGATGGTTATCCACAGAGCCCCGCCCCCTCCTGTACACGTTTTTAAGTGTGGTTTCTGTCCGTTGTGGGAGCTGCTCACAGATCAGCTGATTTAAACCTTTAACGTCCATGTGGCTCGGTGTTACGCGATGACGCCACTACAGCTGCATTCATTTTAATCAATTTTAAACTAAAACATGGAAAAACTTCTAATAGACAACAAATTAAAATTAAAGGGAAATGAAACATCTGATGTTCTGAATAAAGTAGTTTTTTTTTTTTTTAAATAAAGCCTGAGTGCTTCCGGTTGGGCTGGTGGGATGACGCGGTGTTTCCGGTGTTTTGGATAACGCTCCTGTGGTGGAGTCTTGGTCCTGCTGCCGTTTAACGAGCACACTCACGGACACGGTAAGACCCGCACCTCTCTCCGCTCCCGCGAGGCTCGGTTCTCCGTACCGCACCTCTCTCCGCTCCCGCGAGGCTCGGTTCTCCGTACCGGGCCCGCTGCCACGGCCGGAAGTACGTCTCTATCCGCGTGAGCGCACCGAGCTAACAGAGCTAATGCTAGCCGCTCGGTCCGTGCTAACTGTAAACAGCTGACGTGTTATTCGATAAACAGGCGATCGATCCGCGCGACTATCGATCACGTGATGAGGAGCTGATCGATGTTCTGATCAGTTCTGTGTGATCGGACAGGCCGAAGGGGTGAGAGGCACCGGTGAGGGCCCGGGGTCCCGCTCGGGTCATCCAGACCTCCACCTGAGTCCAGAGAGCCGACGTGAGGGGCCAAACGGGTCACCGAGAAGCTCCATGGAGGGGTTTCCTTTAATTTGTCACCTCCTGGCTCAAGCGTGAACATCTGTTCAGCTTCACATCTGATTGATCGGTGGCTCCAGGCAGCTCCTTTGAGATATCGGAACACAAAGAAAGGATCGACCCCAAAATCACAGATCGTGCGTCCGTGTACTGAACCAGGTGTGAGGACAGCCAGAGAGCTATGCAGGGGGCTGTTTTCCGCTCTTAGTGCCGGAGTCTCAGAGTTGCTGAGATGATGAAGCCCTCCATCAGCTGTTAGAAGCCATGAGACAGAAGCATTGATTGGACAGGCTGGGCAGCGTCCACGATGATGACATCTCGACCATCTCAAATTTAGCTGCAAATCTTGTGTTCCAGAGTTTGAACGTTTATGAGTGCTTCAAATATCAAAAACTTTCCAGGATGTTTCTTCACAACTGTCCTCACGGCTCATTCTCACCATCAGCATGAACAGCATCTGTAATCTGGGAGTTTGGCAGTTTCCAGATGTTTCTATAATTATCACTTAAAGCAGGGGTGTCAAACTGCAGGCCTCGAGGGCCGGTCTCCTGAAACTTTTCCATGTGTCCCTGCTGCAACACACCTGAATAACATTAGTAACAAGACTCTATAGAGCTGCATGCTGAGGTGGCAACCCCACCTCCACTCAAGTGAAGTAGTGCTTGGAAAAATGTACGTCTAAAAGTACTTTAAATGCATCGTGTTCATTCATGAGCGCCTGTCAGGTCTTGCTAATGACCTACTTGTGTCATTCAGGCGTGTTGCAGCAGGGACAGCGGCCCTGAGGACTGGAGTTTGACACCTGTGGCCTACAGCATTATTCTGTTAAATATGTGCAACATTTTCATTTTGAGAGCTGCTGCAGGAGTCTGAGGATTCACTTTAAATCATTTCATGCATTCAGATACATTTAACAAAATCCACAGCTCGTTCAGGGTGAGCGGGCGCAAAGGCCGAACTCAGAGCCAGTCTGAAGCGAGCAGAAACGATATGAACGAACGATCTGAAGTTTTGCAGTGTCTGATTTTTACAGTGAGCTTCGGGCGCTGGTTCAGATTTCAGAGTGGATGGTCTTCATCAAGGATAAATCTCTCAAATTTGAACAACTTTTATTTTCTCTCCTCTGGACAGGAAGAGTGAGGCTGCCACCACCACCTGTCAGCTGACTTGCTGAGCACGCTCAGTAGGAGGGGTACCCTCCACAAAACTCTGATTAACACAGTAAGTAAGTGACTTGATGCATGCTCAATCATCCAGGTGAGGAAGTCCCAAAAAGTTGATTCTGTTCATGTGGACGTAGCAGCCGATCCCTACTCCCCATGAATGGTACTGATGGTCACCGATCAATCAGTAGTCATGACAATTCAGGATGATCATTAACATGATTAATGATCATAAACTGACTTCACAGCCTGTTGTTGGTCAGTGGTGCAGATGTGCTGTTTATAAGGTTGGAAACTGACGAAGTCACCTGATGATGATGAAACGTTTCTCCCACTGAAAACATCCTGATGAACAGAATCAAGTTTTTGGGAGTAAGTGTGTAAATGTCACTGACTCCTCTGCAAGTAAACCGAGATAAGAAGTGGCAGCGTGCCGCACACAAGCACGCCGTGACCACACTTTTTATTTTCAGGTCTAACTTGGACCGCCATCATGGTGCTCGCCGACCTGGGGAGGAAGATCACCTCGGCGCTGAGGTCACTCAGCAACGCCACCATCATCAATGAAGAGGTGAGTGGGTCGAATCTGAGCGCCCAGCTGACACCGCCATGGTCTGTGACTCACCATATGTGTTTCCAGGTGCTGAACGCCATGCTGAAGGAGGTGTGTGCCGCTCTGCTGGAGGCCGACGTCAACATCAAGCTGGTCAAACAGCTGAGAGAGAACGTCAAGTGAGTGTGATCGTCCTGATCCCGGTGTCCGAGTGTCCCGTCCAGGTGTGCTGAACTCTGCTTGTTTTTGTCCCTGCAGGTCTGCCATAGACCTGGAGGAGATGGCATCGGGTCTGAACAAGAGGAGGATGATCCAGCACGCCGTCTTCAAGGAGCTCGTCAAGGTCAGATCGTCTCGCTGCCAATGCTCGATCAGGTTAAACACCAACAGGAAGTTGTTGAGTCTAACCATGCAGTGTGTGTGTGTGTCATGTGACCAGCTGGTGGACCCCGGCGTGAAGGCGTGGACCCCCACTAAAGGCAAGAACAATGTCATCATGTTTGTCGGTCTGCAGGGCAGCGGAAAAACTACGACCTGCTCCAAGGTGACCCACACTCACCTGTCATAGACCCCCCCCCCTTACACAGGCCCCGCCTCCTGCTGTGTTCTCACTGTGATTGGTGTGTTTCCTGCAGCTGGCGTATTACTACCAGAGGAAAGGCTGGAAGACCTGCCTGATCTGCGCCGACACTTTCAGAGCAGGTTAGCGTCACTTCGTAGACTCACTTCCTGTCAGTCACATGACCGCCATCATCATCTCCTCTCCTCTCTCAGGTGCCTTCGATCAGCTCAAACAGAATGCCACCAAAGCCAGGATCCCCTTCTACGGCAGGTGAGTCTCGGACAGGCGGCGTCCCTGGTGTTACCTCTGGGTGATGAGTTCAGGGATCTGCCGAACGTGTGTGTGGTGCATTCACGTACCTCCTGACTGTCCGTGCTCCTCAGTTACACAGAGATGGACCCGGTGGTGATCGCCTCAGAGGGCGTGGAGAAGTTCAAAGCAGAGAACTTTGAGATCATCATCGTGGACACAAGCGGACGACACAAACAGGAGGACTCGCTGTTCGAGGAGATGCTGCAGGTCTCCAATGCTGTGGTGAGTCCCTGAACGCACCACCTCAGGTGCAGTCCCGCTAAGTAGAGCAACAGGAAGTGTTTGTGTGTGAAGGTGCCTGCCTGTTCTGGACTCAGGTGTGTCCCTGGTCCTGTTTCCGTAGCAACCTGACAACATCGTGTATGTGATGGACGCCTCAATCGGGCAGGCCTGCGAGTCCCAGGCCAAAGCCTTCAAAGACAAAGTGGACGTGGCGTCGGTCATCGTCACCAAACTGGACGGGCACGCCAAAGGAGGAGGAGCTCTGAGCGCGTAAGCCTAGCGTCCTGTGCTGCATGATGCTGTCATACGACTGTTACGGTTTACCTTCTTCTTCTGCTGTTTCCCGGCAGTGTGGCGGCCACACGCAGTCCCATCATCTTCATCGGAACGGGCGAGCACATCGACGACTTCGAGCCATTTAAGACGCAGCCGTTCATCAGCAAGCTGCTCGGTAAGCACGCGCCAGGGGGAGGGGCATATGCACGGACGCATGCTGAGCGGCTGTCATTGGTGGACTAACTGATTACAGTTAGTCCACCAACTTTTTTCTTTTCTTTTTTTTTTTTTTTTTTTTTTTTAAAATCTGACTGATTCTGGATATTTGAACTGAGCCGTTTCCATGGAAACCTGTCGACTCCTCTTCCTGTCAGGAATGGGTGACATCGAGGGCCTGATCGACCGAGTGAATGAGCTGAAGCTGGATGACAACGAGGAGCTGATCGACAAGCTGAAACACGGTGAGACGGCGAGCACGCCACCCACACTGCACTCTGGGTAACCTCACTAATCTTAACCTTTGACCTCTGACCCGCAGGCCAGTTCACCCTCAGAGACATGTACGAGCAGTTCCAGAACATCATGAAGATGGGCCCCTTTGGACAGATCATGGTACACACTCACCTGAAACTCACCTGAAACTCACCTGAGGCTGAGAGACGGCTTGATGACTGTGTGTGTGTGTGTGTGTGTGTGTGTGTGTGTGTGTGTGTGTGTGTGATGCGTTCAGGGTATGATTCCAGGCTTCGGGACAGA